TAGTCGGCTTTTCTAATAATCACGTCTCGGTCCGAAGTTACCGGATCGTAAGAAAAACCTTTTGGAGTTGTTGGGGTGTTTGGGGTTGAACTACCTCCGATTTTTCCCACCTCATCAATTGTTTCATTGTATTCTTGGAATTGCGAGTCACTTTCGCTTCTGCCAATACTAATTCAAGCATGAGAGATTTCTTTTTTTAACTCCTCATGAAGTTTCTTGGCGTTTCATTTTTTTCCGTAAGCCGTTCCTTTTTCCGCAAAAAACTTACCGCGGTAAAATTTGTTCTGGCCAGTTGGTCTATATGGCTTAATTTTTTCAATTAACATAATTTAATTTTATTATTTAATTTTATTATTTTTTGTAGAGAGAGAGAGAGAGAGAGAGAGAGAGAGAGACGATAAAACCTAGTAAACAGGAAAGAAAGTTAACAAATGGAGTTTGTTCCTAGTAGTTCTCCCCAAAAACCACTGGAATTAAAAATACAAAAATAAAATACATTGTGGTAGAAAATGAAAATATAAAATCTGAAGCACAAAAATATTTAGGAAAAGGATGAAAATGATGAATTATTGTCAATACAGCTTTAGTAGTGGTGACGTGGATTATTTTGCTCTTTACACTGGCCGGCGTGGGCTCCTTGCATGAAGAGATGGGAAATTGTCCGGAAATTAAAAGTAAGCGAGAAAGCCCTGACGAAAAGAATGAAGGTTTTGAAGGACCAATGTCGCCTCAATTTGCAAAAAGCTATTCATCATCACCAATAATAGACGTCCGTAGAAGTGGTAAGAGTCAAGAAGTAGGAGGAGGAGAATGAGATTATTTCAGAAATGAAGATGATAAGTCTGAAACATCCAACAAAAGCATCTAATTAGCACAATTAAAATTATAGTTCGGGTCGGGCCCAAAGCCGCTCGGCGGGTCGGTTTTTTTTGAGATTAGGCGGTAAAGTTTAGATACCAAAAGGGGATAGTTAATGTTAGTGCATTTTTCTCCAAAAATCTATTTTTTTGGGAAGGGTAATAAAATAAAATTCAGAAAAAATAAAGTCAACGGAGAAGAATATGCTCTTTTTTATTTTAACTTTTGAGCCACCGCGGATAAAGAATATTTTAATTGCGGTTGGCTGGTCCAAATAAATCCGTGGTTTTTTTCGTATTTAGGAATAATGTGGAGATGGACGTGGGGAATACTCTGGTAAGCGATTTCATTCATATTACTAACAATATTAAATCCTTGGGGCAGCATTGGTAATTTAGTATTTTTCAACTTATTAATAACTTCTTGGATTAAAGGCAATAAATATTCCCAACTTTTTGCGTCCACAGTAGCAATGTTCGGAAAATGTTCTTTAGTGATAATTAAAGTGTGGCCGTCGCTGACCGGAAAAGCGTCCAAAATGGCTAATGCCTTTGCATTTTCGGCAACAATAAAGGCGGATTCTTCGCGATTAACGATTTGGCAAAACAAACATTTTTCGTTCATAGTTTAATAATTACAATTTTATTACAACGCTCATAACTAGTGACAGTTTAATTTGCTTATAAACCCCTAGCATTTAAGGGAGTTTAGCAAGAAAAACTGCTCTGGTTTTTGCTGCTGTAATAATTTAATACGCAAATAAAAGCTTTGCTTTTTGGCGTCCAAATTATCCAAATTGCTTTTACGAAATACAAATAAAATGTCCGTTTTCTATTCTTTTTAAATTACTTCAAGTAATTTAGTTAAAAATAAAAAACAGAAAATAACTTTGCCTGATGTAATAACTATTTTTAATTAAAAATTTTCCAAACTTTTTATTTTTTTGGAAAAAGTTTGGTCGACTTGGCTTAGT